AGGTCCTATGCTGTCACCTGCAGTTCCTTTTCTCCCAGTTGACTGAGGGAAAAAAAGTTTCCGCTTCTACCAACAAGGGGGCTTAGATTTCACCTCCATAAAGGTCATTGGATGTGGCGTGAGATGACAGGTCAGATTCTAGCTGCCTCTTCTGTGCCTTAACTCTGTGAGAACAAGTCACTTTCTCTCTCTTGAACACTGTCATCCCTTCATCTGAAAGCTTAGAGTTTGCTTTGATATCCTCTTCTGTGTGAAATTGTACTAAAGCTGCTCAATGCTGGATGATTGTACAATATTTTTATGGCTTACAGTGGTGTGGTATTCAGCTCGATTGTAAGACGTTGGGCCGCTTGTTGACGTGACTTAGGGGAGATGGAAGTGGAACAAAGCAAGTCATTAAACAGGGACCTGAGATTGCCAAATTGACATGATCTGGCTGGGTCCGCTGTGATGCAGGGAATCACCTGTCAGCCTCTTGCAGGACTGCGGTGAGGGGCACCTGGGATGTGCTTGGCTTTCACAGAGCTGGTAGTTAGTATGCTGAAGAAGATGGTGGTTATACTAGATGGGCGGTTATTGCTAGTACTTGCAGGTGTGCTTGGCAGGTAGCGCTCTGAGCCGAGCTGCAGGTGGCTGGAAACTCTGCAGGGAAAACGAGGCATCTGAAAACACTGCCCCAAAGCTTGTTCACATCCAAATAAAATGCTAAATATTGTGACACATACGTAGACTCATGCCTCCGTTTTCTATTATTCCCTTTTTAAAGGGTGTTTGTTAAGATGTTCCCCTATACCTGCTTTTTTTGATACTGGATTTGCGAATTGCTTTTAATTGGAATGCAGAGCTCAGTGACAATTGTGCTTGTATTCATTTGCTAGGGTCTAGAACAAAGTACTATGACTGTGTGACCTAAATAACCCAAATTTATTGTCTCACAGTTTGGGAGGCTAGGAGTCTGAGATCAGGGGGTCGGTTCCTTTTGAGGCTGTGAGGAAGGATCTGTTCCAGTCCTCTCTCCGAGCTTCTGGTGGTTTGCTGGCGATCTTTGGCATTCCTTGGCTTATAGAAGCATCACCCTGATCTCTGCCCTCATCTTCAAGTGGTTTTTTTTCCCTGTGTGCGTGTCTGTGTCTAGATTTCCCTTTCTTGTAAGCACATGCTATTCATATTGGCTTAGGAGCCCACTACACACCACTGTGACCTCACCCACTAAAATGTGACCTCATTTTACTTAACTCATTACATCTCCAGTGACCCTGTTCCCAAATAAGGTCACATTCTGACGTACTGGGGAATGACACTTCAGCATATGAATTTTGGGGGCATACAATTCAAACTATAGCCGCCCTTTTCTCAAGTGAGGCATTTTGCTGATGAAATATAGAGAAGCAGAAAATAGGGAAGTGTTCAAAAAACAGAACAGTGGGGTATGTCCAAGAGACACAGGAGCCAACCTGAAATTGCTCCCATTAGCCAGAGCTGGGAAAATTTGGGCAACAACATAAATAACAGAGTGTTAGATTATAACCCAGAATATAAAATAAATATATATGAGTCCATACTGATGTAAATAAATGATGGAGGGAAGGGAGCAATTTTCCTTGCAGAAGAATTCCAAATAATTTACATAGGTATTTCTCCACTCAGGAGGTGGAGGATAACTTTCTATCCCCGGAGTGGCAGCACTTAGTGGCTTACTGCTACAGAGTAGAGTACAGAAATGGGTGGAAAAGGAAGTTTATAGTGGAAAAACCTGGTAAGTGCTCCTTCCTAGGTGATCAAAGCTAACATCCTCAGTGATGTGAAGCTGATGGCAAGTGCCTTGAATATGATGTCATGAACGTGACACTTCACCTCTGTGGTCTTCCTCCCCCAAATCCATAACCCTGGTCTGATCATGAGAAAAACATCAAACGGTGGTTTCTGTCCTTCGGGGGAGACATTCTACAAAATACGTGATCAGCACTCCTCAAAGCTATCAAGGTCATCACAAACAAGGAAAGTCTGAGAAACTGTCACAGACCAGAGGAGGCTAAGGAGACATGATGACTGAACGTGTAATGTGATATCCTAGATGGGGTCCTGGAACAGAAAAAGGACATTAGGAAAAGAGTTGTGAAATATGAATACACTTGTACCGTTCAGTAATAATATACCAATGTGGGTTCCCTAGTCGTGACAAATGTCCCATAGTAAAATAAGGTGTTAACATTCAGGGAAACCTAGTGAGGGGTATATGGGAACTCTCTGTGTTATTTTTGTAACTTTTCTGTTAAAAATTAAATCAGTCCACAAAACAGACTAATTGAGTTTACCAGTTTTATCGGTTTTAAATATCCAAATGGTTCTGGGAGTGAGACGAATAAAATCAC